AACTTTAAAATTTGTTGTGAAAAGAAAACATTTGTAGCTTTCGTTTTTCTGGAAAAAAATGAGTTGACCCTTTTTCGAACAAAATTTAGTATGTAGTGCTAACTTGACACCATGCACCATTGACGACAGAATTGAGATATTGAAAAGGTTACAACGGCATTAATTGTAGCTTTCTTGTTGTAAATTTGTTGTGGAAAGAAAAAATTGTAGCTTTCGTTTTTTAAGAAAAAATGGTATGTAGTGCTAACTTGACACCATACACCTAGTCGATAGAATTGAGATATCCAATATGTTACTATGCCATTAGTTGTAGCTTTTAACTTTGAAATTTGTTGTGAAAAAAAAAATTTGTAGCTGCGTGCCAAATGAACTTTTCTCTCAAAGTTTACACTGCTGGCAAATGTAAATTAGGATTAACATTTAAAAACTTATTAATACATCTAAAGTAAAATCTGTGGAAAATTAACAATAAAATACTTTTTTCGCAAAATTTATAAAGGACCCGTTTATTTCTCAAAAAAACCTGGGTAACAGTTATTCGTCGCCACGCTGTATTGTAAGTAGTAGGCTAGTGAAATTCTTTATGATTAAAGTTAACTATTTTATAATGTTATGGAATTGTGACAACAATTTTAAATTTTCATTAAGGATTTTTAAACAGCGTTCATGGGAAATTTTTATGTTTTCGTTAGGTATGGTTTTTATTATTTTTTCATTTGTATCAGTAGTTTTTAATATTTTTTTTTTTCATTGCGAAATTTGTATACCAACTCTTCGTTGATAATATGATCACTTCGTTTGATAAGATTTTGTAAATGCTTTCTTCAGTTAAACTGTTCGACTTTTGGAAAAGCGGAAACGTAAAAAAATCTCTAGTAACACTTTCGTTTGGAACCAATTATGTAATATTTCATTTAGTTGCAATATTTGCAGTCTTTACTTTTAGATAGGGCATAATCTTATTGAAAATATTTCTAAATCAAGATTTCTCAAATGCCTTTAGTTTGGTACCCATATTCTAACATTTCATTTCTTTGACCAATTTAATTGAGTTAAATTTTCAAACAGGTGGCAACCCTCTTCAAACATATTTTCGACTATAGGTCTTTTAAATTTCTTTAGTTTAATACTCACATTGCAATATTTCATTTGTTTAGTCAATTTAACTGAGTTAAAATTTTCAAATAGGTGGCAACCCTCCTCAAAAATATTTTTAAGTCTTCTTTTTTAAACCTCTTTAATTTGATACCTATGTATATAAATTGAATTGAGTTTAATTTTCAAACAGGTGGCAACCCTCCTCAAACATATTTTCGGCTGCAAGCCATCTTAAAAATCTAAAGATTGACCCCCAAATTGCAGTATCAATTTAACTGAGTTTAAATTTTCAAAGCAAATGTACTCAAAAATATTTCCAGCAGTTATCTTTCTTAAACCTCTTTAGTTTAATATCTATATTGTAATATATCATTTAGTTTGTCAATTAAATTGCGATACATTTTTTAACAGGTGGCAACCCTCCTTTAAAATATTTTCGACAGCCTTCTTTAAACTCTTGTGTTTGACACCCACATAGCAATATTTCGTGTACTTTATCAATTTAACTGAGTCAAAATTTTAAAATAGGTGGCAACCGTCCTCAAAAATATTTCCAGCATTTATTTTTCTTAAACCTCTTTAATTTGATACCCATATTGTAATAATTTGTTTATTTTATCAATATAATTGGGTTTAAAAATTTTCAAATAGGTGGCAACCCTCCAATTTTTTTGCGATATCATTGGTGCTTGTATTATACCGAACAATACAAAAAAGAGATTATTCAAATCAGTTCAGCCGTTCTAGAGTTCTGGCGACCGTCACATACGAACACAACATTTTTATATATGTATATCATTTAGTTTATCAATTAAATCGCGCTAAATTTTTTAACAGGTGGCAACCCTCCTTTAAAATATTTTCGACTGTAAGCCTTAAAACTCTTTAGTTTGACACCCACATGGCAACATTTCATTTATTTTATCAATTTTGTTATTTTGACAAATAGGCAAAAATATTTCCAGCAGTTTTCTTTCTTAAACCTCTTTAATTTCATACCCATATTGTAATCATGTATTTATTTTATCAATATAATTTGGTTTAAAAATTTTCAAATAGGTGGCAGTCCTCCAATTTTTTGCGATATCATTGGTTCTGGTATTATACCGAACAATACAAAAAAAAAATATTCAAATCGGTTCAGCCGTTCTCGAGTTTTGACGACCGTGACATACGAACACAACATTTTTATATATACTTATTATAAGATGTACAGTGACGAGCAAAACTGTAACATGATTTAACACTTTTTATTTCAGGCACCTCTATATTTCCAAGTTCTAACGACTTTCATCCTTTTGTTGTATATTCTTGTTGCTACACCTCTACTCACTCCCTCATAACGATTTGAAGTCAATACATCAACAATAAAAACCCCAGCAGAGAAAAACGTAAATTAAGGCAAATGTTACAGTTTTGCACTCACTCTCAGTTTTGCATTTTACAGTTATCTTTTACTTAGTTGGAAGCCAGATGAGTTTTTTCTGTATTGTAATTTATTGAAGAAGTGATCACCAGTAAATAATATAGTTAATCAGGAACCATAAATGTAAATAATAGATTTACTGCGGAAAGGCGAGATGGCAGGGAAAGTGGAAAAAACTGTGGAGTTTGCCACTTGAATATGTTAAGACTGAGAAAAAATATAGCCTAAAGTGTTCCTAAGCACAAAGGAAGTCTGTCAAAAAATATTACGGTACGATATCTTGTGAACTTAGCAGCAAGTAGCGATGCAGCCACTGTTTCAGAAGCACTTAAGGTATTAAACTTTAATGCAAATCAGTAGACAGCTAAGCGAAGAAGTGCCAAATTGAGCGCGAAGGCATCATAAAAGAAGAAAAAAGCAAATTTGATCAAAATAGATGTGCGCGTGTGGCAGCATTTTGCTACATCGCACGAAAACCGGACCGTTCCCTATTGGGATATGTTAGGCCTTTCAGAATGCAAGAAAAAACATACTTTTAAGTTTCAGTTGAAGGTTATTTGGTCTGGCAATACTAAATTAATCTCTTTCAATCAGATGGCCGGGCATGGTATTGGATCAAAAACCCAAATTAAGCCCATGCGCATCATGTAAAGCAAACTGTGAATCACAGTGGTCGGTCAATAATAGTTTGAGGTTGTATTTCAAAAATTTTGTTGGTCCGTTAAAACGAAATATGTGTAAGGAACACTATCTGTTCATATTTCAACAAACTTTGCAAGATGTAGTCGAAAAAATGAGTTTCCGCTGAAAAATCACCCAAAACACATTGCACATGTTGGCAAAGACTGGATACAAAAACAAAAATTTGCTAATTTGAAATGACGTCCACAATCTGCGGCCATGAATCTTAACGAGAATTTGCGAAATCAACTAAAAGCACAGCTTACTAAGTATCCAAGTCCGTCCAATGGAGTATATGGGCTGTGAAAGCAAACTAAGGATATATGGGTGGATATACCTCCAGAATTTTTACAGAGATACAAATAAGGTATGCCAAATCGCACCCAGGAACTAAAAAAAGCAAAAGGTTACTGAAAATTGTGTAAATAATTCTTTTTTTTCGTGAAAATTGTCAAAAAGTTATTAAAAGTATATAAGTGCAAAACTGTAACATGTGCCTTAATTTACATTTTTGTCTGCTGCTTTTATCATTGTTGTTGGATTTACTTAAAATCCTTATGAGAGAGGAAGTACAGGTGTACTAATAAGAATATACAACAAAAGTATGAATATCGTTAGAACTTGGAAAGATAGCGGCGACTGAAATAAAAAGTGTTACACCATGTTACAGTTTTGCTCGTCACTGTATGTGTTTCTTTAAGGTTTTTTATGTCATCGCTCCATATCTACCCTCATAAATACTACATGAAATTTAAATATTGAAACACAATTTTGAAGGTCAGCTTTACCGCTTTACATAGGGTTGCCATCTGCCTGCAGATAGAGTGAATAAAATATTTAAGTAGCGTAAAATTTTGCAACGCTTTTATCGAACGAAAGCCATTTCAGTGCACTTTTATTAAGAGGTAATATTTTTTAATAGCGTTGCCATCTGCCTAAAAGGTTAAATTAAATATATTATATATATGTATGTGTCGATGTAAACAAATAACTTTGTTAATTTTAATCTCATTTGGAAATGCTGAATGACCCTGTATATAAGTGTATATGCATCTCATGTTACATGACAAACTACTGTGTGTTCAAACTACTGTGTACAAAATACTGTGTTAAATAAATTTCACTATAATCGAAGTAAGCTGTTTTCGTGTTCCTTTTCAATATGTTCTTCGGGTTTGTGAGCGAGGTAAAAGCATTTCACTTTACCGAGTGTGCTTCTGCGCGTCACGACAAAAACCATGAGTATTGAAAATGTAAGAAAGAGACGAAAGTGTATGCACAGAGTTGTGTCTTGTGAATACACTAGTACAAGAAGAAGGATGAAGCGCGTTTTGAATTGAGTAAGGCATTATGGTGAAAATACTTGTGGAAGACGGACGCGCGGTTGTACACTACGCTTTACCTGGAGAAAACTATCTGATCTGATATTAATTAAGATAATGGAAACCGGCGTTTACATTAACGGCGCTCTTGCCACAACACCAACTTGCAACGAAATAAGTATAAATGGTATTTCTAATGGAGCGCCGTCATCAAAAGTGGGATGGACTCCCCCATCTTCAGTGAATGCAAATGAGCAGTTGTGCCAAATATTGGAACAGCAAAATCGACAATTTATTGAACTGTTCCAAGCGGTACAGTCACCAAAATCCACCAGACAGGGCGGAAGTATTACACTACCAAAATTTAACCCTGTCGTTTTGGGTGTAGATGCAATTTCTTGGTGCTCAACTGTGGACGTAATAATGGCAGACAATCCATTAGAAGGCAGTACACTTATTATAGCCCTCAGTAAGTCAATGGAGGGGTGTGCATCGCAATGGTTGTCTCAAATAAGCTCACTATTTCATAAATGGAAATCACTAACTATTGAGGAAATAGCTATCGCAGTGGTTCTTGCACATTCTTCTCGTTTTAACAACAGTTTGCAACGTTTGTTATTTAAAACGAGCATAAAGACACGAAACGAACTCCAGCAAGAACTCAGAGCCTTTGTGTTTGGCAAAAGAAAGTTTGCTTTTGAAAATCAGCCAGAGTCAAAAAAACATAAACCATCGGCTTACCTAAAATGCCATTTCTGCGGAAAAGTGGGCCATAAAATTGCCGATTGCCGATTGAAAAAAGATAAAGGCAAATCATCAATGAAATCATGTCAATTTTCGGGCAGCATGTCAGCAGAAAAATGTCGGCCATCACTTATTTGCTTCAAGTGTGGAGAAGCTGGCCATATTGCATCAAAGTGTAACAAAAGCAGCAATCGGTATTCAAGCAACAATAAATCCGGTTTTGAAAAGAAAGTGGACGCATGCGAAATAATCGAACCTAAGGAAATACTGAGTCAATCTGGTGAGTTATATCTATTCTGTTTTGATTCCGGGGCTGAATGTTCGCTTCTTAAGGAAACGGTGTCGGAGAAATTTTCGGGAAAGAGGTAAGAGGTATCGGAAATAAGTACATCTATATGTAGTAATTTTCAAATCCTATCAAATGTTAAAATCGGTGATTATTCCCTCGGAAGTTTTATTCCATGCTGTACTAGATAAATATTTAAAGCACGATGTTATGACTGGCCATGAAATTCTGAACCGTTCGGTATTATTATTACAGCTAATAAATTTGAAATTTTTAAGGAAAAGATAGCAAATACATGTTCTAACAGCTCATTTACTCTTGATACCGACCTATCAGAAAATGATAAA